TAAACTGAAAATAAATTAATGATTTATAATTAATTAATGTTTCTAGAATTCCGTTATTATCTAATAAAAATATTTAATTTCAAGTTTTGAAGTGTAAATTCAGGTTTCCATGTGTTTTGACCTAGACTAAATAAATATAAAATAAATACAAAGTATACTTAATACTTTTTGATTTTATAAACTTAATAGTATAGCCTTCAGGGATGTGGAGTCCAAAAAAACTCTAACTTTAAATTTCTAATTTTTCTAGGACTCTGGTGTCTAGGAGCTCTAAAAGTGTTGAGTGGCTTATGATCTGCAACAAATAAAAAATTCATGAGGTTTTATGACTTGGAACCTTTTTTTTATACCCTGGAGTCCCAGAGTTCTTGTCACCATTATACATGAGGATTCCAGGTTCAAAATTTGATTTTTCATCTAACCTAAGTTTCAGTTAAACCATCAACCACCAAAGAAAAAACTCCATCAAATGTATATGCTAGCAGATGCAGTAAGATAAAGTTTTCTGGTAAGCAGATGTAACCATAATAATCTAATTGATTTTCATACAAGCAAGTAAGAGTAGGTTTATTACAAGAAGAAGTTATTTGAAAGTTAAACAAGGAATCAACATGCTTGGTTTTTAGTATCAGGATGGTTCCAGATTTTAGATGTCCATATTGCAGGATTTTAAATGTCCATATTTTAGATGTCCAAAAGGCCAGTATAAAAGAATAACAAGTAATGGTGTTATTCTTTTATACTGGCCTTTTCCTTTGATTTTCAGATTGTTTAATAAGACCTAATAGATAAAATAAGTTGACCTGATGGAGGTTAAAAGAATTTTTGTTTTTAAAAAGAAATTAAAAAAAAAAGAAATAGGTTAAAATTAAAATATAGCAAAAATGTTTGCTGAAAAATATAATCTTTTTTTACTAAAAAGCAGAAAATAAACTTTTTAATTTAACAGTTCATTAAAATAAAGATTGACAAGTCTGTTTTGAAATAAATCTGGAGCAGATCTGTCAGTCTTTAATTTACTGAACTAATAAATTTAAATTAAAAAGTTTATTTTCCGCTTTATAGTACAAATAAGATTATATTTTTTAGTAAATGTTTTTGCTATATTTTATTTTCTACTTTTTAATTTTTACAATGAGTTAACAATGTGAATTATTGTTATGTTGCAATATTATTGTTAAACAGTATTCAGACGACAAGAAATAAAACTAGTTGTGATTAATTTTCCTTGTAGCAAGCAATATTGCAACATTGGTGCAATATTGGTACAATGTTTATCTCAATGTTGGCTAAAAGTTGTTAAAAATGTTGCGCTAATATAGAATGTCCACATTTTGATATATGGTTTCTGGGTTTACTCATTGTTTCGATTGAGGTAGTGTTTCTTTTAGAGTAGACTACTTTTTAATATAATTTTTTTATTCATTTATTGAACTCACTGAATTACACTCTGTCATGACTTCTTAACTCTCTTTTTATAATCGAGAAGTCATGGTCACAGTGCAAAAAGTTGTACCCTCAGATATGGAAAAACTGGTTTACCTTTTTAATCCACTTATTGTTAGTAAGTGCCATAAAAAGTTTGGAAAAGCAATGGTTTTTATTTTGCCCTTCACAATTATCGGCATACTCTTGAGGAATGGTAGACATGCAATTTAAAAAAAAGGAGCAAGTTTCATTTGGAGGCTTTCTAACCTGCCCCTCCTGATAAAAGTAGAGTATTAAAACGTCTCTCTTTACATCATGAATAGAAAATACACTCACAGTTAACTGCCTTAGGTAAAATAGCTCTTGCACAGGTATTTTAGGCAGTGATTTTTTTAAAATGTGGATGCATAAAATCTACTGCTAGGGACAAAACATTGGTAAAAAATTTTTGCGCATCTGTTATATACTGCCAATTCAGCTACTGCTGCTCGCTTAGCGACATCATTAAAGTGATTTTATCTTTAGTTTTAACTCTTTGCATGTGCAACAGTTGTCTTCTTGCTGTTGCCTAAAATGTAAATGAAAGTACTTATTATAGTAGTTACTGGTGTAACTAGTACTTATTATGTAGGACTGGTAACTTATTATGTAGGACTGATAACTGAACTTTCCCCCTTGCTGTGTCTTGAACCAGGCCTCTTCTTCATAATATCTGTAACGTCAATCAAGCCATGCAAAAAGAAATCCTGCTCATCTTTTGTATTGAACTGGCTGTAGAACTTCATAAATGCATCATTAAGGTTGTCTTTGCCAATAAATTCAAAACACTTTCTTGAACAACTGAAAAATGAAATGTTGTTATTTTACTTTATAAAAAAAAGTTATAGGCTAGGCTTAATTAATAAGGTTAACATACCTAGTTAATAAAGTTAACAACCTAGTTAATAACCTTAACAACTTAGTTAATAAAGTTAACATAATAGGGTATTAATTTACAATAAATGATTGTAGACTACCCTGAATATGTCATTCTATTGGCCTACAAATATTTACAACCTTAACAAGCAATCACCAACCTAGATCTATATGTCAACTTTAGATTATAGAGCCAAAATCTGACTAATTATAGATGAATTGTTACAATTTTGCATAACTTATTATTAAATTAAGAAATATTTGTGTACCATCTCTGCATGGATCTCAGATAGACATAACATCAACTTTTTATTCCCCTGTTTCATGTCACACTAAAAAGCCCCAAACAAGATTAAGGTTTCTTAATCTTGTTTCTTTTTGAAACCATCTGGATTTCTCTTCTTTTTTTTGAAACCATCTGGATTTCTCTTCTTTTTTTTGAAACCATCTGGATTTCTCTTCTTTTTTTTGAAACCATCTGGATTTCTCTTCTTTTTTTTGAAACCATCTGGATTTCTCTTCTTTTTTTTGAAACCATCTGGATTTCTCTTCTTTTTTTTGAAACCATCTGGATTTCTCTTCTTTTTTTTGAAACCATCTGGATTTCTCTTCTTTTTTTTAGAACTTGTATGATCAGATTCACTATTCACTATCAACCACTTAATTAATCAGTTAATTAACTTTAATCACTATTAAAATGATCACACATAATAAGTCAGCTTTATTGACCATACTGTTGTACAATCACAACAAGAAAGCCAGATTATGTTTGGTTTTCATAATAATATAATACCAATTCATAATAATATAAAACCATATGTTGGTATTATATTATTATGATTGCGATAAAAATTTTTTTATCACAATCAATGAAAAAACATTAAAATTAAAAAAAAGACTACTTTTGAGGAGAAACTGAACATACAACCCTGTTAGCAGGGCCTCAAAATTAGACATCCATTACATCCACAGGATTACTCTACTATATAAATGAGGAAAAAAGATAAAAGGATTTAAACATTTAAATTATTTAATTTTTTGATAAACTTACAAATAATGACCTTGTAGAAATGAAACATTATAATTTACAAAAAAAATATCCCTGAGGAGGACTTGAATCCCCAACACTATCACCTGTACCTCAAAAGAAGACATTTATTACATTCACAGCACTACGCAAATGTAATAATAATGTAACAAAAAATTTTTTTTAGATAAGTTACTTGATAAAAAGTTTTGGTCAAGCGAATGAAAAGATTACAAAAGCATAAAAGAATATATAAAATCAAATAAGTTAAAAATAAACTACTATATTATAAAAACATAATCAAACATTAAATAAAAAAAACTTAGTTGTTGGTTATGCTTTTTATATAGATAGCCAAATACTAGTTGCAGTGGTTATAATAAAATTTACTTTTTTGTTAACCAAAACATATTTTAAGAACCAATAGTATTATATTAATTCATAAATACATTTATTTTACATTTGAAATAAATTTTTATATTATTGTTTTATATTAGGTGTAAATGCATTAAATGGCTATTATTTAATTATGTTACGCTTAAATACATTGAATGGCTATAAGAAAATACAAAATTAAATATGCATAAATTGAATGAGTGTTGGGACAGTGTTTAGTTACATAATCTGAAAATTGGCTAGTAAACTATTATATTATCAATTACTAATGAGATGATGGCTTCCAAAAAAGTCTACATTGTGTCAATTTGCAGTTGCATGGTCCCTAGTGCAGTTTGTTCTCTAAAATTCTTGCCTCGGTTCTTATGTTCATTCATTTTTTTCCTTCCTAATTTATGAATGTAATTTATGCATACTCTCTAATGTAAATACCACATGAGAATGTAGCTTTGCAGACACGTGAAACCAAAAAACAGGAGGTATTAGAGTCACTAATTGATTAATGGTATAAAAAAGCAGTTGCAAAGAGAAGGAACTTGTAGAGAAGCATATTAAGGGGAGTACTATCATGGATAAGGTAGTATTTGAAGTATTTTTTTCTTGCATTCAGGCTTCTACTGTTGCACCACTTTTTATAAAAATAATATAAAATGCTCACAGTTAATGCACACATACATTTCTGTTTTATTTTACTTCTAATATACTTGGTTTCTTTTGCTAAAAATGGTTTATTTTAGGTTAGGTTTTTTATAGCATTTAAAAATTGTTTATTTTAGGTTAGGTTTTTTATAGCATTTAAAAATGGTTTATTTTAGGTTAGGTTTTTTATAGCATTTAAAAATGGTTTATTTTAGGTTAGGTTTTTTATAGCATTTAAAAATGGTTTATTTTAGGTTAGGTTTTTATAGCATTTAAAAAATGTATTTTTATCATACAGGTATTTTAATTCTAAATTATCTTGAATACTTTATTTTAATATTTTAATTAATATGTAATAATAACTAATATTTTAAATAATTTTTTAATATTTATTTTTAAAATATATTATATATACAAAGTTTATATACAAAGAAAAAATTATTTATAAAAATATTTATATATATGCAAAATATGTTTGGATTTTATTTTAAATTTAATACAATTTTAAATAAGTTTTATAAACTTTCATTAGTTTTCATTATTAAAACATTTTTAAAGATTTTTTATTACTTTTATATTTATCATTTGCATTTAGGCAAAGAATTCAATTCAAATCTTCCACCTCCTCCGCCATTACCACCACCACCAACAATTGAAGTAATAAAAAAGAAAGTTATAAGTAACATTCAGCCCACAGAAAATGTTTGTGTTGCAAAAACTTTAACAGTGGAAAATAGTTTTAAAGGTCAAAAAAACATAACCACAGACAATTTACATGTAAGAGAAAAACCTGAAATAGAAAATACTTTTTGTGAAAGTGAACCAGTTAATTTGGATTGTAAATTATTGTCTAACAATGATCGCTACAAGCCATCTTCCTTACTTTCACAAATTTTAAACAGTAGAGGTGTCAGTTCATCTTTGTTTTTAGATAGATTATATCATGGTGAGAGCAATATAGATAATTTTAATGATGTAAGTCAAGACCGGACTTATAATTTACATCCTGATTTTAATTTTTTTGAAACCAATAATATTTCTGCAAAAAAACAAAAAAAAAATGAACAAAAAGACAGTATAGAAACTATGTGTAACTCTGATATTGACTCATTAAATTATAAAAAAGAAAATTCTTTATTGCAATCAGTATATAGAAAAAATGATTCACTAGATAGATATTCTGCAAATGATATTTATTCAAATAGTACTTTACCGCTAATGACACATCCATATATTCCGCCTCAATCATTAAATTCTTCTATAAATGCTGTTCCTTTTATACCTGAACCCAGTAACTCTCAAATATTAAATACATTTCTCCCATCCACCGATATATCAAAAACAATAAATACATCAACAGATAAATCATTAAACCAGCATGCAAGTATGCAAAATAATTTAGACCCACTTCAGAGGCAACCGGAAGAAAATTATAATTTTCAACTTTATTCCCCTCAAAGTCTATATACTGATGTTATTATACCACCACCAGATCTTCAACCTGTTATTGACCGTCTTGCATTATATGTAGTAAAAAATGGTGATGAGTTTGAAGAAGGAATTAAACTCAAAGAAGACCCTCGATTTGATTTTTTAAATAGCTGGAATATGTATAATAAATACTATACTCAACAAAAGTTTTTAATGAAAGTTGAAATTCAAAAACAAAAAGAAGAAGGTAAATGATTATTTTGATATTATTGCTTTTATTATGAGTTAGTTATATATTATTATTTTTTCAATTATGTTTGTTTTGATATATATATTTTTTTTTTTTTTGTTTTTTCGTTTTTTAAATGAAAAGTTTTAAAAATCAGCTCTAAAACTACTTATGCATTTTTAAATAAAACTTTAAAGCATTTCATAATTTTACATAAAAGTTTAAACCATTTCACAATTTTACATAAAAGTTTAAACCATTTCACAATTTTGCATAAAACTTTAAACCATTTTACAATTTTAGATAAAACTTTAAACCATTTCATATTTTTACATAAAACTTTAAACCGTTTCATATTTTTACATAAAACTTTGGCATATAAATTTGCCAAATATTCAGCAGTGAACGCCTGATAAAAACATTAAGTGTATTAGAATAGAGGAGAATTATTTTTGAACAAAGCTTATTTTGACAGTTGTCAAGACAAAAATATTTTAAAACCATTTCATATTTTTACATAAAACTATAAACCATTTTATATTTTTACATAAAACTTTAAACCATTTTATATTTTTACATAAAACTTTAAACCATTTTACATTTTTACATAAAACTTTAAACCATTTTACATTTTTACATAAAACTTTAAACCATTTCATATTTTTGTGTAGTTGTAATCAGGAGAAGCTATAAGAGTTTTTTAGTTTTAGTTAATGTGCATATAAATATCTACATTTTTGTTTTAAAAACCTTTGGCAAATTATCAAAGTATCAACAACAAAAAAGCTAACTAAAAAATTTTTATATAATGACACTTAGATATTGCCTTTTTGTTTAGATGAAGAACGAAAAAGGAATATGAAGGTTAGTTTTGGCTTAAAAACAAAATCAAAAGCAGTATCTAAAAAAGCTTCTAAAGTTCAGGCAACTGCAATTTTTAATCAAAATGAAGAAGAAGAAGAGGAACCAGTAAAAACTGATGGCTTTAAACCTAACAAAGGTATTTTACTAATAATAAAAATTAAATTTTGATAAAACTTTTAAAATGAGATTTAAAAAAACAACAACCTTAAACCAATAAAAGAATAAAAAACATAAAATCTGTAAATAAAAATTGCAAAACTCTTGATTATTTAGTTTATTCTTTTATATACATTTTTTACTCAAATCTTAAAATTAAATTGCAAATATTGTTTCTCAAACCACCTTTTAATGTCTCGTGTTAAAACCCACTTTTCAACAAAATGAAATTACAAATATTATTTTACAACTCACCTTTCACTAAAATTTTCATAGCTAAAGCCACATTTATATATAAATATATATATGTGTGTGTGTGTACAGGCCTTGACAGTTAAGCGAGAGTTTTAGCTCTTGCGCTCTTATATATATAAATATATGTATACAGTATTGAACAAAATATTTGCAACGAACATCGAACAATGCTAAAAAGCGTTCCTAATTTTACATGTCTTAAAAACGAAACGAACTATACTACCGCAGCAAACAGTTCAGGAGTCTAGAGCCATAGCATGCCATAACATGAGCAATCAGCTAACAAGTGACAGCACACAGGTAGAATTTTGTTGACAAGTGCCATTTTGCAGCAGACAAAACAAGTGCAACTTTTTTGGTTTGTTTCATTTTCTTAAGTTTAGTTCGTGTCAACGTCACGGAAGTTTTTTAATAATTAAAGAAAGTATCCAGAAGTTTCCAAAAACATTAAGAAGCTTGGAGAAGTTTCCAGAAGAAGCATCTGGAAGCATCCAGAAGTATCCAGAAACATTCAGAAGCATCCAGACGCATCCAGAAGCATTGAAAAAAAGCATCTAGAAGCTTTCAGAACAGGTTTTCACAGGTTCATTTTACTATATAAGAGACATGTAAACTGACATGTAATTCAGTGAAAAATGGCTCCCGACAGTCTTGGATTGGAACTAAGAAAGAAAATTATTAGCGATTACATAAGTGGAATGTCACAAAAATGTATTTGTGATAAATATCGCGTGAAAAATGGACCGTATCAAGACTATGTTCCAAATATCGTTCTACGGGGAAATTGGCAGCAGATAACAAAGGTGGAAGACTGCATTCCACCACTTCTAGAGAAGATTCTATGATCGTCAGATCCGTCAAGCAGGATCCCTGGATATTATCAGTCGAAATACAAAAGCAATTAGAGCTGCCTGTATCGGACCGAACAATCAGACAACGTGCTGCTAAAGCCGGATTGTTTTCTCGATGCCCTGCAAAGAAACCACTGATTTCACTAAAGAACCAGAAGAAAAGACTCCTGTTTGCTACATCTCATATTAACTATAACGTGCAGAAATGGCGAACTGTCCTGTTCAGTGCTGAATCGAAGTTGGGAGCAATGGCATTTGCTGTATACGTCGACTGGCCAGAAAATGCCTCGATTTACATTACTACCATAAGACCGTGAAGCATGGTGGAGTCAATGTAATGGTCTGGGGTTGTTTTTCTGCTAACGGTTAAGGTCCAATACATCCAATCAATGGAATAATGGACCGTTTCATGTATAAAAATATCCTGAAAGATGTTATGTTACCTCATGCTGAATGGAATATGCCAATAAAATGGGTTTTTCAGCAAGACAACGATTCGAAGCACACTGCAATAGTAGTCAAGCAGTGGTTTCAAGACAACCACCTATTGGTGATGGATTGGCCGCCTCAATCTCCGGATCTCAACCCTAAGGCCTGAGCAGCAATTCCTCAAAGTTTCATTGATCACCTGATCGAATCTATGCCTCGAAGATGCAAGGCTGTGATCGACAACAAAGGATTTGCCACGAAATATTGATAGTGAAATACAGTTTTGGAGTTGCACTTGTTTTGTCCAGAAGGAAATCAACTTTTTTTAATACTTTTGATTAATTTATTAATTTTTGTGGACAAATAATGAACTTTGTGGTTAATAAAATTTGAAGAACGTTGTCTCTAAACAGTTACATGATTATTTCTCTAAATTGAAAAAATGCAGCACTTTTATATAAAAAAACTAAATAAGCACTATTTGGTTGCACTTGTTTAGTCCAATACTGTATATGTATATATATATATATATATATATATATATATATATATATATATATATATATATATATATATATATATATATATATATATATATATATATATATATATATATATATGTATGTATATATATATATATATATATATATATATATATATATATATATATATATATATATATATATATATATATATATATATATATATATACACACACACAGGTACGCACATATATACACAAGCACACACATCAAAGTTGACAGAGAGTTACAAATAAAATTAGAAAATAAATAATTAGCCTTCTAAACCTTGTAAGTGAATTTAATAAGTTTAAAAATCTATTACTTCTCTGCTCTTTAAAATCATTAAACTCTCTTTTTGTAGAAAACACTAATGCATTGACATTAATTACATATAATTTTTATATATATAATATATATAAATTAATATTTATATCCTTAGAATAGATTTACTTAATTGCTGCTCTGCATTATTTATTTTGTGATCGAACAATTTTATTAATTTAATGTTTGAAGCATTTTGTTCAGTCATGATATATCAAAGAAAGTTTTCTTTGATATTTTATGACTAGCATTTTTTGTTTTTTAATGGTGATGTTTTTTATATTGTTTTGGGAGTAAGCTGATTTAAAAAAATTCATGTTTCCTAGTTATAGAGTTGAGAGAGGGTTGTACAAATAAATACTCGACTGTAGTGGCCTTCATGGACTTTGGCACGTGAATTAACAAAAGAAAAAATATTTAATATATATATATATATATATATATATATATATATATATATATATATATATAATATATACATACATATATATATATATATATATATATATATATATATATATATATATATATATATATATATATATATATATATATATATATATACACACATATATGTATGTATGCTTTTAGATAAAGAGAATGAGATGAGACGAAAACAGGAGACACATGATTGCAGTAGTAGTAGTCTAAACTCACATCGAACTAGTAAATCAACTCCACAACAAATTGCTCAAGCAAAGCGTTTTACACAAGCAGCTAACTTAAGAGGTTTTTACAGTTTAATATTTTGTTTAGTTTTTATAAATGTTATTAAAAAATGTTTAAGCTTTTATAAAATAAGATTTTCTGTTGATTGGTTTTTCTTTAAAAAAAAAGATTTTTATTTACTAAAGCTTATAACTATAGCATGATTGGTAACAAATAATATTGTGCAAATTATATAGAGGAGACTAAGAAAACTGAGGACACAAAAAGAAAGCACTTTAAAATCTTATACCCTGTTAAAATTGACCCATAGGATTTTTAAATTATTTGGTAAACCAATTGTACGATTTTTTGTTTTTTAAAATTTTTGTAATTTTTAAAGCAAGTTTATTTCCTTTTCAAATATTACAGTGTAGTTTTTGAAAATCCTGTTTGTACATAATGAAAATATATTTGCAAATATAATTTCATTATGTAAAAAAAAGCCTGGAGTTTTTCTAAAAATAAAATCAAAAAGTTTGCCTAAAAAGTTTCAATTTAGCAAGCCATCTGTTTGTGTGGTTTCAAAACTCAGCCATTTTTCACAAACCAAAACATGAACTCCAAAACTGTTTATGTGAAAAAATGTTTAAAAAAGTGACATTTGCTAATTATTTGAAAGCATGATAATTCACTCATCTTTTGGCCTGATCTTTCAATTTACCATTACTCAAAAAGTGTAATGGAAAGGCATCAAAAATTGTGTTGACATTGTCCCAAAATAAATTATTCCAACAAACATGTTACAACCTCATCCAATTGAAAAATTATGGGCAAACATGTAACATAAGCTTTGTAAGAAGGGCAAAATTGTGGAGGATATCAATCAATTTGTTCAATTTGGGGGTGTAGAATTATAAAATTTTACGAAAACTGTTGTCCAAATGCTTATGCAAGGTGTTCCCACTAAATTGAAAAAGTATTCTCATCAGCTTGAAGATATGAATTTCTAAAAACTTTACTTTTTTTAAAGATATATTTGATTTTTCAAAATTGATTAAGTGTCTTGAAATATTTCAAAATCTCCATGGATTATTATCATATCAAAAGAAAAAAAAAATTAGAGAAATATATCTGAGGTAAAAAACAAAAATAAAGTTACTTAAATAAAAATCAACGATAAATTGAACAGACAACAAATTAAAACATTTGACAAATTAAAAGATATAAGAACAAATTAAAACAACTGAAAACAAACATTTGAAAAAAAAAATTTTAGTTGATTAAAAAAAACTATGAAAAATGAAGATTTTCGATTCTTTATCCAAATCTGCTTTACATGCAATATGCAGAAAAAGTTAATCAAAACAAAATAACACAGATAAAAATATATTAAAAATCCTAGTGTGTATGCACCGTGGTGTGAAAATATTAGAATTGACACAATAAATTCATGCAAGTTATTAGTTTTTTTCAAAATATTAGAAAGAAATCACTGTTCAGGGGCTCTTCTAGGAAAAAAAATGGGCGGCGGTATCCCTCCGTCCCAATGAAATTTAGAATAATATTTGTCCTAAAATTTATTTAAAAAAAGAATAGCTCATGCTGTTTCATTTAAAATCTTAGAAATATACCACTGTCAGTACTTAACAAAACCTTCTCTTGCTTTAGCAAGTGCTTCAACTCTCTTGGGCATTCTGAAAATCAATTTTTGGCACATTTCTTGCATTTCTAAGTTATGTACCCAGGATGTCTGTTCATGATAGTACATCTATCAGCCCCACTCTTGCTAGTGGCTTTCTGATTTCGTTTCTGCGCTTAACAATCATCTACTAATTTGCAATATTCTCATTGATTGAAAGTAATGCGGTAGTGGTGTAGTGGTAGAGCGCTCGCTTCATAAACGAGTGGTTCCGAGTTCGATTCCCACCACGTCCCTGGTAGTACCGCGCTCAACTCGTTTCTCCGCGCAGCGGCCTTGTTCGTCAAGGTTCGTGTTTCGGAGTTATAGAGTTGAGAGAGGGTTATAGCCACAAAATAAGTAGCCTCCTCGTCTGTAGTGGCCTTCTCGGCCTTGAGGAGGTGAAGTAAAATAAAAAAAAATTAAAAAAAAAAAGTTGTCGGTCATTTGAATATTGAATATTTTCAACACTTAGGTGTCTCGTTGTGCATTTCGCTTTATACAGCTATCCAACACCATGGATTGAAATCATAGATCATCACCGAATGATCATCACAATCATAGATCATCACTGAATGATCATCACAATCATAGATCATCACTGAATGATCATCACAATCATAGATCATCACTGAATGATCATCACAATCATAGATCATCACTGAATGATCATCACAATCATAGATCATCACTGAATGATCATCACAATCATAGATCATCACTGAATGATCATCACAATTATAGATCATCACTGAATGATCATCACAGTCATAGATCATCACTGAATGATCATCACAATCATAGATCATCACTGAATGATCATCACAATCATAGAAAATCACCACTGATGTCAAATGCTTCATAGTTTTCTTGAGGCAGTCAGGAAAATATTCCCCACCAGAGCCATATCAAAAGTAATAGCTCTTGTGATGAAGACTTGAAATGTCTACTCATCACACTAGACAACCTAAAACACAAACATAAAGAAATAAATAAGAAAAAAGTAATAAAATTTGCTCAAAAGGGAAAGAGGAAGGCAACTAGTAGAATGATCGTTTGCACTATATTTAATTGCCGAAGAATAATATAACAATGTATTTATTTTATGAATACATTATTATATTATTCATTATTATTATATTGGGTGGAGGTCAAGAAAAGTTGATGCCAACAATGTTACTTTTTTTATTAAATTAAATTATTAAAAATAAAAGAAATAAAGGATGTTTTCTTTCATTTAAGTTTCTTGATGAGGGTGGGGGGGGGGCTAAGGAAAGAAGCAAGGGAAGGGGGCTCTAGAAATTTGACAAATTGTTAACAAGGATAAGGGGGAAAGATCACCAAAAAATTGTTGACATAATTGATAAACAGCCACTAGGTTAATTTCGAAGATTCAATTTTGTTAGTCTGTAATAGGTATTTACAATCTTGTTGTATTGTTATTCATATTGCTATGTTGTTCATTGCTTCAATAGTACTAGTTAAACTTTATCGCTTCTAAAGTACAGCAGTTGAAAAATCATTTAGAAGACGATCTTTACATTTGAAAATCAAATGTGTGATGCAGAACAATCTATGACTCAAAATCAAAGACAAAAATTTAATCAAAGTTACTGAACGGAGTTAATGAATCAACATGACTAAACATTCTATATGTTAAGTAAGGTTGGTTCAGTAACCTGTTGTTTAAAAAATATTTTAAACAGTAATGGTTTTTTTAGATTTTTATATAGTTATTTGCTGGTGGAATATTTTGAAAGATTTAGTTTGAAGAATTACAGTAGTTGCATGAAAAAGTTCATTAACAATCTTGTTATAATTAAACTTACAAAAAAAGATAAATTTGTCAATAATTTAAAAAAAGAAGAGGATTTGGAAGCAGTTTCACTGTTACTTTGATTCATTTTAATCCCATTTCCTATATGAGTTGTTGAAAGCAAGGGCGGTGTAAGTCAATGTGGTCAATTTCAGTTCTGATTTGACTTAGGCCACTCTTGCCAAAGCAAAAAACAGCTGTTCAGTAAGCACAATCAAGTACATGCTGCGATCTAGGGGTGAAAATGATAAATATGACTTACACCTCTTTTACCAATAATTGCTTGAGTAATAAACTATTCGGATGTTGACTTCACAATTTTTCTTGACTTACACCACCCTTGCTCTCAACGACTCATATAGCATGAATAACAGGTACAAATTTATCAACAAAAAAAAACAACATCAAGACCTATCAGCTTTTGAATCCATCTTGTACTTTTTTTTTTTTTTTTTATTGTTAAGTTTTTATTAATTTTTTCTGATTTGGATTTAAATATTTTTTGAGACACTTACTATGTTTAGGAGTTTAAAAAATAAGAAATATCTTTTACTTGACCAAGAAGATTTTTTAACACGATAATTTAAAAGGTATATAAAGTTACCTTTAACATTTTGTGTAGAAGATTCACAAAGCATAGACCTTTCATGCAAAACACAACCTTTCTTATGTTTTTTTAAATCATGAACAGCGTTACCCCACTCTTGATGAGGCTTAAAAAATAAATTTAATATTCTAGACTTATTTGGAATACTAGCATCTAACAAAGTGCAAGAAAGGCAGTAAGCTCCATCTTCTTTGCTAGAATAAGCTTACCAAGAAAACTGGCTAAGCCATTCAATTGAACTTTTCATATTAGTATGATCATTGGGGCTTAATGATAAGACTAAATTTGTCTTCTTCTAGCCCCGGTCATGTAATTATTTTTTTTTTTATAAGTTACGACTGTAAATTTTTTTTTTATCGGCAAAAGTGTAAATAAATTTAAAAAAAAAAAAATTTCATAAAATATGATCTTTTCATATAGAAGATATTGGAAAAACAAATATAGAATTAGGGCAGATTACTTTGTTTATCATATCTAGCAAAAATGCATAGTCTTTAAAAGTCTACCACTAGCAAGATGCATTGAAACATTATTGAAAGAATTTGAGTCTTTATATAAAAGAATATTTATGAGTTGGAATGATTCAAATATTTAAGAATCTACAGAAGAAGAAAAAAAATTTTTTTAATATTTTAGAATCTGCAGAAGGTTCAAAAGGTAAAGTTGTTAAAAACATTTGTTTCAGTTTTAGGACTAATAAAGTGTAAAGGAAAAAAAGTACCATCATTTTTTAACATGCCAAATTATATTTTTATAGCTCTTATTATCACAATTATTATCAAGACTTTTTAATAATTGGTACAGGTGACGAGTAATTAGTATTTTGCATACTGACATAATATCAGTATTACACCATAAAATATTTTGATATTGATTTTTAATAAAACCAAATAGAAAAATAATAGTATTAAAAAGTTTTTAAAATTTTTCTAAACCGAAATCAGAATATATTGATCTAGCTTGGCAGTTGATCAATGCTTCCATTTTAATTACTTTAGAAGTTGTTTTTTAATTTACTGTTGATTAACTAACTTAAATTGATTTGAACATTCAAAAGAAAAAACAGGCTATTAGCACACTAGAAATATTAGAAAAATTATTGCTATCAACCTGTTTAATATAAAGGAAATACCTCACATAGTAGAAAGCTTTTTCAAACAATTCAATCGAAGTTAGAAGCCTCAATACACTAACTATTTTCAGAAACAAATTGTTTAAAAGTGAAGCTGAGCTGTACTTCGACCTTAAATAAAAAAAAGTATACTAAAACAAGCATTATATTAATTTCTAGCTGGAAATATGAAACACCTTTAACTTTAGTAATATCGCTTTATCTTAGAGCATCATAATTTTTACTATTTTCTTGCTTCGGGATAAAACAATCCATTTCAGATTTTTTAAAAGACTATATGGCTGCACTTGATATTTAAAATTAAAAATTTTTATATTTGCGAATATTCGGCAAATACCTAGCCATAATTACATTGGAGACTAAAAAATTCATTTTTGTTTTAAATCTTTAATTTACCAGCAAAGTATGACAAAAATTATGAACTAAAAACGTATATCAGGTGACAAATCAGAATTTTGTAAATTTTAAACAATTTGGAGCAACTGAGGCAATTGTTCTATACTTTCTACAAAATGTATTGGTTATAAAAAACATTATCGTTTTTAAAACATTTTTTTTCGGAAAGTTTGTAGCAACTGTCTCAATTGTTATTTTAATAAATAGTGATTGGTTAAAAACTGTTTTTAACCAATCATTTGTGATTTAGACTACAATTGCAACAAGTTTTCCATCACTTAAATTGATCTACAAATTGATCGAAAATTTTTTTTAAAATGAGCTACAAATTGATCTACAAATTGATCGAAAATTTTTTTTAAAATGAACAAATAAGAGTGGTTAAAGCATAAAATATTTTTTTTAATCAATCACATTTGAATTTAGTGAAAAAATAATTGCATCAGTTGCTCAAAAACACAGGAAATTTTGTCTGAGTAATGAATAAGTAATTATAGAGATCAAATAAAATCGAGTTTACTTTAAAATTTTTTTTTCGAGTTTATATTAAATGTTTAATTTTTGTTGAATAATTTTAATGATTCTAATTTCTACTTTCACTTTTCATTAAGGAAAAAAATAAAAAAGAGATACGGTAAATTTAGCAAAAAATGCATTTAACTGACTTTTAATATTATACTTTTGGTTTAAAAAATGGTATCTTTAGATATAATTTAATTGGTTTAATTTTTTACTTTTGTTTTTATAGTAGTTTACTAATAAACATTTATAGCATAGGTATCATTTCAAGAACATAGTTTTTGGTAGTTGCGGTTTTGTTCACCTGGGTTGATTACATCATTTATTTAATGTGTTTTGTGATGAATTCACAAAACTGATTGGTGATGCAACTATTTTGTAAAATTTGTAAAAACTATTTTGAGTAAATAAAATCAGTGTGAAAAAAGTGATGATCGTGGTAACTATTCAGTTTTTAAAGAAATGAAAATTAATGACAACTTAGGTTTTTGAGTTAGTTTGTCTGCATGGTTTTGCTTTTACTTAAGCAGTTTCACTTGAAATTAAAAAAAAGAATTATTTGGATAAGATTTAGCTGCACAGCCAATTCACTTGGTGTGAACAATTCTGAGAACAATTTTGAAACCAAGCGATGTTAAATTAAGAACATTTGGAATGATTAGACTCAATCCCATTAATTATTAAAATGCTTGCAATGTTCGTTTAGAGAAATCAAAACTTTTTTCAGCAAGTTACAAAATTAGATTTGAAGATAAAAAAACTTATTTCTGTATTTATACATACAATGTAGTTAGGATGATTCCTAATGAGAAAGAAAATAGAAATGGTAAGATTCTTCTTGTAAAGATTTTCTTTTAAGAGAGTATACAAAGCTCTCAAAGTTTCAATTTTACCTTTCATGTTGTTATCAAGTAGATATTTAATTTTAGTAAAAATCAGGCTGAAAAAGCTAGTGAAAAACCTAGTAATATCTTCTAGCTCTGCAAAAAATTTGGAAAAGGTCTTGTGATTTTTGAGTAAGCAAGATTATCAGCAGTTATCAAAGTTAAATAATTATTTACAAAATAAGTTTATATTTTAAACTTTTAAATAAAAAAGCAACAACAATACAATTGGCATTCTATTTATCTATTTATCTAAATCGCTTTGACATCCTAAATATTTTAACTCACAAATAAAACACTTCCTTAAAAATTTTTAAAATGTATGATATGTATAAAAGTTGTTCTTTATAAAAAAAAAAGTTTATAAAAGTTTGTTCCCATTAAAAAATTAAATTAAAACTTTCCAAAGCAATAAATTCTAAAATGATGATATGCATAATCATCATCTTTTTTTAAATTAGATATTAGTTATTTAGGGGCTCCAAGAAATCCTAGCATCTTTATCACAGAGCACCGCCAAATAGCATTTAATTATTTAATTAAGGTCACCTAAGATGTCTAATTACTATTCACCCGAGTTTATGTTTCATTAAATTTACATTAAGATAAGAGAGAATTGGGAAGACTTGCAACTTTAATCTTTTGCACGTTTTAGTTTTATGCTTTAATTAAGATCCTCCCGCTTGAAGCAATTCGTTTTTCTAAAAAAATGGTTGTAAATTGTTGGGGTCTAACGTATATGTATATATAAAGATAGAGTTTGCTTGATAGATAAAAGTATATATAATAAATCATTATTGTTTTACATCGCTTCTTATGTTTTATGTTGTTATTTAAAGGCAATGCATAGTATGTGATGATTTATATCGTAATACCTATGTATATTATGTAATGGTTTAGAAACACAGCAAAAAATGCAAGAAGAAAGGAAAAAAAAAGCTGCATCATTTGTCGTAAAGTTGAAAAACACTGACAAGTAAGTCTTTTTAAAAATGTTTTTAACCCTTAACTGGTATTAGAGTTAAACTAGATTTGATTGGAATTAATTATATTTAGTTAGGGTTAATTGTGTTTAGAGAAAAATTAGTTGGGCTTGATTTAATAGTTCGGAAATTACTGAAATGGAATGGAATGTTTGTAACAGATGTAATGAATTAAACGAGTGTAATATGTAAACTGAAATTATTGTAGGAAATAAAATTACTATGATATATTTAAATAACCTTCTTTCTTTTTTTTTTTATAGTGTACCTGAAGGTCCGCCAGCAAAAAGGGCTGATACCAAAAAGGTAGTATAAATATTTTATGGTGTCATCTGATTTATTAAATGCTCTTGTTTTTCTTTACTGTTTTATAATTATTTTTATTTTATTTTTGTAGGACGCTTTTTTCGAAGCCATAAATCAGGCATTTAAGGGTATTTAAATTTCTTGAGAAACATTTAAATTATCGGAAGTTTTATGAAGTACCCTTTAAAGTGTAAATTTAGTAAATTTATTGTAATTTTTCTGTTTGTATAAAATTTTATGGAGAAAATACAAAATATATTATTTAGCGTTTTTATAATTTCTACCGTATTAACATTCATGATTCAAATTTACCAATAACTCTGTATCAGGTCAAATATTTTATGTATTCTTTGGTATTTTCTTTTTATAAAAAATTTTCCATCAGTGAAAATAATTGCCGTCAATGTTTGAGACTAATAAAATGGCCTAAAAAATCAATGATAATCTTTTTTTACAAATCAAACAAGTCATGCAAATTGTTGTTGAAGTCTCAGAAATATTCTCTAATTAAGACTAGTTAGTAGCCTTCTAAAACCTTTCTTGTTATGAACAACAAATATATAAAAACAACTTTTAATAAGAAAACGACATTCATTTTCAAAATGTTATTTTATTTCAGATTTCTATGTATATACGAAATTTGTATATCGATGGCTAAACTCCAACACCACGTATCTCAAAATTTGGCTGTTTTGGGTTAAGTAATGAATAAGAAACTATGGCCAAAAAGTAAAAACTTGTTTTGATCAAATCAACATTTTAAATAAATAAGCAAAAGAATTTTATAATTTTATGTTTTTTTTTTTTTTTTTATTTCTGTTGTTTTTTTTTTGAAAAATATAACGTTTTTTGGCTCTTCTGAAAGGTTTTGATTATTTAGATACGTGGTTTTGGAGTTTTGGAGCCTGCATTGGAGTAAAGTAATTTTAAAAATTTTTTATTCCTTTTTGGATTCTAAATTCTTGACGGGTCCTAATATTGTTGACATTTTTTCAAGAGAAGCACAATAATATGATGATTTTTTACTTTGAAAAACCCCGTTTTTAACAATACGGGGGTTTTAGATATATTCTTGCAAATATTTTTGATACAAAATTTTTTTGTTTAATTAAATTATTTTTTATAAAACATGCATTTTTTTCTGCCTATTTTGAGTCCAAGGTTGATACAGTTAAAAAAGAAAAAAATTTAGTTAAAAGGACCTGCCGCCGTATTCACAACTCTCGGTTAAGCTAACGGAGAATTTGAGTGTCTTTTAAGAAAAAAACATTTAACATAAAACGGTTAATGGTATTCTAATGATTCCGTTTATTAACTACTCCTTATTAACTATTTTACGTGGCGATTCAAAAATATTCTCATTCAAAAATATAATTCTCATTCAATAATATAAATTCGAAAACAGTATCGACTCAATTAGCTGGCATATAGATCCACCTAACATCCCACCTAGCTACGGTCATCGCAAGCGCTTTCATTGTGAAATGGACAACAACTGCCTCGTTTGCTATAATTCCTTCAACAACCGCGTTGCTCACCCATGGAACATATTACCTAATGTAGTAGTCAGTGCTACCAGTGTCGATCGCTTCAAAGCAAAATTCGATCAGCTTTAATAATTACTACAGCGCATCATCTTCCATGCAATTTCGCACCAGCTAGCACGGCTAGCTGTTGATGGGCTTACGAAAGACGCCCGCTCTGTGTAATTTAACTCTCTCTCTTACTCCGATAATTTTTTCAGTTAAAGTTTCTCCGTTAGCGAGCTCTATTAACTAGATTTCATGCTGTTTTTTTCATGGCATTTGAGCGTTGCGATGCCAACAGACAATAAAGTTGTTTAATTGGGAAATCGCAGCCGTTTATTTTTTTATTAACAACTGCAGCGTAAATTTTAAAAATTTAATTAAAAGACGCTACAATATAAATAAGGACATTTTCGCTGGGAAGGGTTTAGTTTCTGCTTGTGATTCTATCTTAAAATTGTCAATTAGGGGTCATCCATAAAGAACGTCACCCAAATAGGGAGAGGGGGTTAAGATAAAAAAGACAAAGGAAAGGGGAGGGGGTAGGTTGTCAGAAAAGGACGTCACTTTATAGATTTTTTGATTTAGTTTAATTAACATGAAAAACTAGTTTTAGTTTAATTAACATGTAAATATGTGTTTTTAAGAAGATAATGTATAAGAATATTTTTAATTTTATTTTTTAAAGGTGAAGCAGCAGATTCAAACATCATTGCGAGATGAAATAATTTTTTTGGGGGTTTAAAATAGGGGGGGGGGTCAGGATTTTATGACGTCCTTTTCAAGGAGGGTATAAAGAAAAAGGACACCTGGTGATAAAGAGGGTGAGAGGAGTGAAAAATTGGCTAAAAAGTAGTGACGTCCTTTATGGATGGCCCTTTAGTGCATTAATTTACTTATGATGTCCAGTTTAGTCACATTTAAAGCTTTTTAAAATATTTTAATAAGACCTAAAATTAAATACACATAGAAGTAGGTTGGAAAGCAGTTAGCAAAGCAACAAAGTTGTAAATAATTGGTATGAAAGATGGTTCAATGATCTATAATAGAGGAATAGCAAAAAATTTTAAAATTTCAGAAAAATGTGTCATATATACTTTTTTTTTTTTTTTTTTTTTGTTATTAATTTTAGGTGCCTCATAAAGACCTAACGGTCTTGTCACAGAGCACCGCGGAAGTGCATATAATCAGGAAGTTCACCTCCTTCTTTAACTTGACGCGAAAATGTCTAGAGCTCGTTTCGAACCTGGATCTCCTGCTTATAAAGCAAGCTCTAACCACTGCGCCAAGGCCGCACTTTAAAGACATTTAAAACACCAACATCAACGTCATGCAAGATTACGAAGATTAAAAAAAAAACTATGAGCGCGAAAATAGTCTTATGTTTTGTCAAGTAAGATCCAATCTGAGGTTAAGTTATTGTTAACTCACCGACGCATTCAACAAAAACCGTGAAAAATGTATTTCGTCAAATATAGTTAGAAATATTTCACTAAAAAAATAATTGGTGTTTATGCAGCTGTTAGAAAACCTATGTTGACAGCCAGAGATCGGTTCACAAAATTTAGGTGGTGTAAGGAGAGAATTGGATAATCTTTGGAGAGGTGGAAGCAAGTGATTTTTAATGATGAAAGTAACTTTGAAAAAATAAATAGAAAAAGAAACCTTCTTGTTAAAAGATTTAAATCGGGAAAATATAGCCATCACTTTGTCGTACCGAGGTTGCAAAGTAGCGGCGGCAGTATTGATCAAAACAAATGGTGGCCCCCATATAGCTTGTACAGTAAAAGCATGGATAAAAGAAAATAAAGTAAATTTATTGACCTTGCCAGCTCAATCACCAGATTTGAATCCAATTGAATCTATATGGTTTTGGATGGAAAAAGAATTAGTCAAGATGCAAATATGATCCATAAATAGCCTAAAGCAAAAATTAGATACCATATGGAAAAGAGTTCTATACAAAATCTGCAACAGCCTTGTTAAATCAATGCAAAAAAGATGTGCAGCTTGCAAAAAAGTTCGTGGAGTATTTTTAAATACTAGCTTAGATATTATTTTGTTGTTGTTTTTAATTTTTTATAAATTGCAGATTTTTTATTAACATTTTTTGTTACTATTTTTGATAACCATTTAAAGGCACTGTATAAATAACAATTTTAAATAATCTCTACTTTTCTTGTTTCTATAGCAACTGTTGTTTACAAACGTTGCAATAGACTGCTTTCTCAGTTGTTTTTTTGGGGGGATAATTTTACTAAAATTGAATAATCTTCTGAACCATTTGTTATAAGGTCATAGAATTTTTACCACTTGTTCTTTATATCTATATGTATAATCTGTACTGTATAATTTATTTATGCTCTTTAAGAAAATATGTTATTATTAAATCTATGAAATGTTTAGTTCTACTCCCTGAAATTTTTTAGATTTTTTTCAGTTTTCAATTTTTTTTATAATCACTATGAAGACTGTAATTAATTTTAAGTTTTTATCTTTTCTTTAAAAATTTTTTATAATCACTTTTTTTTATTTATAATCACAACTTTTTTTATAATCACTATGAAGACTGCAATTAATTTTAAGTTTTTATTTTTTGTTTTAAAATCGAGATTTTTTTATTTAGATAAAAATATATATATTTTTTTATATAACGTAATTCCCCGATTCTTTAGAATTAGAGTAACATTTACATTATACAAGATATTCTTAGTTTTCATAAAAGACCAATATTTGTGCATTTATGGCTACATAAGCTTCCCAAACGTGGGCCAGATGAAACTCACGCACAAATCAAGTTTGGCGTTCGCTCTTATTTAGTCTGGTTTTATTGGTATAAACATTATAGCCATATATGGGCTGCGCTAACGCCATCCCATAAAGGAGAGGTCAAAACATTTTTCCAATGAGCAAAGCCAGGTTTCGCGTTTTTAATAAAATCCTGACCCGAATATAATAAGCGCTTGAATATCGAATTCGTTTTTAATAGAGATAAGTTATATCAATTTTTGCTGTAATATATTAAATATAATTATTTGATATAATATACATAATAATTATCTATCTATCGCAAATTGTTATAAGAAAATGAATATAAACGGTTTAAGTAAATTTAAATAATTCGGGTCTTGATTTTATAAAAAGCCCGAAACATGGATTTTCTAATGGAAAGTGGTAAATATATAGTTAACATGCAATTACCATTTATGGTCCTCATAATTTATCCTAAACTTGGACCCCACTGACATATTGCCTTATAGGATGCAATCGCATCAACGCATGAGATCAATATAATATTATTGTGATATCAAATATTTCTCATGCTTTGATATCAAAAAATTATCTAAATATGATATCATGTAGATGTCATAACCATAGATAAATAAATTCAAGTATGGCTGTGATATCATCATGAGGTCAAATTGAGATTACGACTTGATATCAAACCATGAGAAACTTTTGATATCTAAATAGTGCCTCCCTGGCGCAGTGGTTAGAGCGCTTGCTATATAAGCAGGAGATCCAGGTTCAAAACAAGCTTTGGCATATTTCGCGTCATGGTAAGGAAGGAGGTGTGAACCTTCGGGTTAAATGCACTTCTGCAGTGCTCTGTGACAAGATCGTTAGGACTTCTTGGGGCACCTAAATAACTAAAAAAAAAAAAAAAAAAAAAATTACATCACATTGATATCATTTTTTGACAAATCACCACAAACTCAATTTTGTGGTGTTTCG